TTGAGCGTGCTGTTTGGTGTGTTCAGCCTTATTGCCATTTCAGGCCGCATGTTTATTTATTCATCAATTAGAAGCTCCATTTGTGTAAATAATGAGCTCAAACATCCATCACTTTTATTGAAGTCACTGGGGTTGTGGAGCATATGTTTAAAGTGAATGTTTTTTTTTGTGTTGGTTCTTTTTTTTCAGTGCCTTACTGCCATTCTGAGTCCAGGTTGCTCTTGGCAGCCTCACCCAGGTTTTACATGGCTGTTCCAGGTGTTGCTTCTGCTGAAAAAGAGATAATAATTTTGGAGGGACTGCCTTTTTTTTTTGTCTCTTTCACCATGCATTTGGATTTCATGCTCCCAGTTTTTTCGCTGAATTGTTTGTCACTAGACTCAATTTGTTGCAGTTGTTTGCATCACCCCTCTCATCTCGCTGTGATGCTTCGAATAGAACAAGTTGGAGGAGAAAGAGATAATGCTTGGGCTGCACATGAGTAGGCATGCCTAGGGGATGTGAGTCTTTCTATGAGTTGCTGCAAATTTGAAAGTAAGTTTCTACAAATGCTGCCTGTGCCATTCCCACCCCCCACTCTCCGCCGCCCTGAAGCTGTGTAGATTGAGCATCTTCAGAAGGACAGGTTGTTTAAATGTGGTTGAACAAGCTGGTCCCCAGTGAGCTCTGTAATTGGGAACCTCAGAGGAATGAGGGAGGTGAGGTTGCGGGAGACAATTCAATGTGGGTTGAATTTAATTCTTCCTGCTTTGATTCCATACTTCATCCTGTCTAATCTGTGCTAATGCATTCATAGAGTGCAGCAGATCAATGCAGTTCAGTGAAAAAGAAAGTGTGAGAGAGAGAAAGGACAAATTCAGGGACAGAATGAAAGAGACTGAACCAAACAAGGGGAAGTGAAGCAGGTAGACATCTGTGTAAGAGTCGTAGCTGATGAGTCTAATGACTCAGCCTGATCAGGCAAAATGTTCTTCCAGCAGTAAACACGACTTACAAGGTGAAACATTATTGTTTAAGGTCTCACTGGGCCTGAGATGGAGAACTATCGATGGGGCAGCAAGTAATAAATGCTTGTGTTGCTAATGACTGCTGCAGCTAATGATTTTGTGTGTCCATGTTGCATTTTGTCACATTGTTTTTGTTAAAAAAATGTATCTATATGGAGATGTGCTCTTCTTACCTAAATCACACCATGTTTTGTGAATGTATGTTTTTTTTTTATCTTTGGTTTCTTCATTTAATAAAAGATAACAGTCAACAGTAGTTGCTGTTCTCCAATAAACTTGTCTTTAGAACACAAAACTAAATAAAATGTTAATTAAGAGTTATATGATGGGTGGCACGGTGGCGCAACTGGTAGAGCTGCTGCCTCTCAGCGAGCAGGTCCCTGGTTCAAACCCCAGTCCAGGGGCCTTTCTGGGTGGAGTTTGCATGTTCTCTCCGTGCATGCGTGGGTTTTCTCCGGGTGCTCCGGTTTCCTCCCACAGACCAAAAACATGCATGTTAGGCTGATTGGTAACTCTAAATTGTCCCTAGGTGTGAGTGAGAGAGTGAATGGTTGTTTGTCTCGTTTGTCTCTATGTGGCCCTGTGATGGACTTGCGACCCGTCCAGGGTGTACCCCGCCCCTCGCACAGTGATTGCTGGACATGGGCACCAGCGACCCCCGTGACCCAAAATGGAATAAGCGGGTAAAGATAATGGATGGATGGATGATGGGTGGCACGGTGGCGCAGTTGGTAGAGCTGCCGCCTCTCGGTGAGCAAGTCGCCCTGGTTCAAAACCCACCCTGGGACCTTTCTGGGTGGAGTTTTCATGTTCTCTCTGTGCACGTGTGGATTTTCTCCCGGTACTCCAGTTTTCTCCCACAGACCAAAAACATGCATGTTAGGCTGATTGGTAACTCTAAATTGTCTCTAGATGTGGGTGAGAGAGTGAATGGTTGTTTGTCTCGTTTGTCTCCATGTGTCCCTGGGATGGACTGGAGGAGACCTGTCAAGGGTGTCCCCCACCTCGCACAGTGATAGCTGGACATTGGCACCAGTGACCTCCGCGACCTGAAAAGGAAGAAGTGGATAAAGATGATGGCTGGATGGATGGAGTTATATAACTTCTGCAGAAATGCAGAGAGAATCACAGAATTGGAAATGCAGAATTTAAAGCCTGTTAATATGTGAATGTGATTGAGCAGATCTTTGACGTGTTTTTAGATTTGAAGTTGTTCTGTACAGTTTACATTAATGTTCACAGGCTGAAAGAGCATATTTTTGCTGCTTCGTTCTCCTGTTTGAGATATGTGACATCAAAAGACTCGGGGCTCAGGTCTCCTTCACATTCACAGACAGCTAAGGCCAAGAGATCCGCTATAAGCATAAAAAACGTTTACCCTTGTGCGCAAAGATTAGAGCAATATCCACAGTTTCCAGGATGATACCAAACACAAAAAGAGAAAGAGGACGTGAGATAGTTTTAACCAACACTTCAGCAACTATATGCAACCACATTAGCAAAAGGAAGGCATCAGAAGACTTTGTACCTGCATGAACTGTATCAGATATTTCTCTAGAAACAAATAATAAGGCTACAACTTTTTAGATAAAACACTTGCAGAAAACAATGGTAGCCTCTGTCCAATATGACATACAGTTAATGGAAAAAAGTACATCATTTTCCAGTTCTATTTAATTTAATTCCATTGTCAAAACAAAATAAAAATGATCTGGTTCTTACTAGGTTCTAAATTTGTTTAAAGCTACTCTCAAGTGTAGAAAGACACACAACATATCTCACCATGTCATTACTTACTAAACAAAACAAAACAAGAAGCTGTGTGTGGAAAACTCAAATTCATCTCATAGTTGAATTAACGTAGAACCACCTTTATCAGAAAAAAACAAAGCAGTAATTTTCTTGATGACTTTATCACTTAGTGTAACGTGCATATCCTACAAATACAGTAGTCCCTCGCTACTTCGCGGTTCGTTTATCGTGGACTCGCTCTATCGTGGTTTTTCAAAATGAGATTGGGCATGACACACAATTGACTGATTAATGGATGAGGTGTACGATCGGCATGGAATTTTTATTTAAAATACATTATTTTTAAATTATTTAGCACCTCCTGCACCTTTGTGCTGCCCTTACTACAGGATAAACTCCCTGCTGCAGCTGATCAGCTGTTCTGGGTGCAGAGCGGAGAAGTGGGCGTGGCCAAGAGCTCTTGCAGGTGGCAAAGAGCAAAGGAGGCAGAGAGCTGAAATCATGACGTTCTGTGCTTTTTTAGAGGGTTTAGGGTTTAGAAACATTGTTTAAAATATTGCAAGAGTGTGGGAACACCTTAAAAAAATATAATAAAATAAACTACTACTTACTACTTTGTACTTGTACTACTATTCATACTTCGCAGTTTTTCACTTATCGTGGGTCTTCAGGGTACGGATCCCCCACGATAAACGAGGGACTGCTGTACAAAAAGTGGAAGATAAAGTCTTATTATTTAAGAAATTTGGCATCATACAAATTTACCTATTTTGTCATAACTGCCATATTTTATTTTGAGTTTGGTATAGCCAAAGTAAAACAGGAAGTGACATCAAACGGGAGCTCCTTGGTCTTCCTTTATTGAGACAATATTTTTTGAACTTTGACTTCTCTTCGATTCGCTCTCAGTGACTCAAAATACTCAGAAGGAACTTCAGATTCTTTGCTACTTTCTCAGTTGAACTCCAACGCTCTGTTTTCAAGCAGGCCTTCCCCTTTGCCATCACTTCCTGTTACTACACATGTGAACATCTCAATAGTGTTCTTCTCAGCAATGTGACATTTATTTTGCAATATGTTTTTCATGTTATCTTTCCAAAAACACATTCATATTTAATGTCACAGTCACTTTAAAGTGGACAAAAATGTTTTTTGTGATCATTATTAATTGCTCTACTTTGTTTTACTTGAACACTACCAAGATACGTTTTGGAGCTCAACAAAAGCTCAGTAAATTTATAACCTACGTTAACTGTTCTTTGATCAAAATAATGCAGCAAAGTATTGTTTAATGGCTAATCTAAGTATCCATTGTCACATGGCAGATGATGACTGTACATTTCTTATTCTGGAAGCTCGTCAGGATTAGAAACAAACTCAAATCTGTCTCATTATCACCACTTTCAGAACAGTTTTCTTTAATGACAATGCAGTTATTTTAATCATTTTTCATTTTTATGTTCCCTGACTGAGCCACAGCTGCAACAGTCGTGATGTTTATCTTGTTCTCTGTCTTTCTAGCTGCTCATATTCTGTTGCGTCCTTCTGTTTCATCTGATTTAATAACCTCCGAGGTGCTCCCTTAGCTTGCTCGTTGCCATGGTTACCATTTCCTGAACAGTGTAGTATGCTGAGGACAAACTGTATGGGTATGCTTACTGTTCGTGCGCTGTGCACGAGTGAATGTGAAGCACGGACGTATGAAGGCTGTACTTTCACAAGTAATTATGGTGCTTTGGCCGTTTAGAGACGGAACATTTGCACTCGGTTTGATAAGTGTGGTATCATCTGACTAATGCCATCTGAGAGGACAAGGACTGAAATGTGTATTAATCTGTGTGGATCTAAATGCCTTTGACTACTGGTGTGTGTGTGTGTGTGTTTGAGGTGGTGGAGGAGGCCTTTTTTATTCTGCCTGTGTGGTGAGTGATTGAGGTTCATAGAGGAGAGTGCTGCTCTCTTCGTAATAGAGAGAGGAGTAGAGGACATGGTGTGTGTGTTCAGATGAAAGATGTTTATTGGTTGCAGCGTGCGCACCCCCCAGTCAAAAAAATGTGTTTCTGTCCTCAATCAGCATCCGCCAGAAGTCATACTTACTTCTCCCGAAGACAGAAAAGTAAACCCTCTCTAAATAATTTACTCTTTTTTTCCGTTTCTTTTTACCCTCCCCCTCTTTCCCTTTTTTATGAACCCTCTTCATCCCCTACCTTCTACCTCCTCCCCTTAATTGCCCTCCTCCAGCTGGTTGGTGGAGAGTTTGACCTGGAGATGAACTTCATCATCCAGGAGGCGGAAAGCATTGGCTGCATGGTGGAGCTGCTGTCCCACTGTGAGGTGACGTGCCAGGCTGAGATCTGGAGCATGTTTACGGCCATACTGCGCAAGAGTGTGCGCAACCTGCAAACCAGCACTGAGGTCGGCCTTATCCAGCAGGTGCTGCTCAAAATGAGCACGGTGGACGACATGATCGCAGGTGAGACTTGGACACAGCGTTTAAACTTTATTTAGGTATGTAGGATAAGGCACAAAAACATCATCACAGATAAAAAAAAACCTAGATAAACTGAATCTGATGAAATGTGCTGAAGCAGCTTCAGCTGTGATGTTAAAGCTAAAAGAAGCAACACACTAGTTAAAATCTGAAATATCTAAAACATTATCTAAAAGCTAAACGTAGCAAATGGCTAACTAAAAATAACAAAACTGTAGCCAAAAGCATCAAAAGGCTAGCTAAAAACTAAATGTAGCAAGTGGCCATCAAAAAATCAAAAGTAACAAAAGGCACATTAAAAGAATAAAAAAATATAGTTAAAAATATCAAAGGATAGCTAGAAGTTAAAGCAGCAAAAGGCTGGCGAAAAAGTATCAAAACACTAGCTAAAAGCTCAAATTAGCAATGTGTGAGCTACAAACTAAAAGTGGCATAAAGGCAGCAATAGAGCAAGTATGCTGGAGCAGATTTCAAATAGAACAATGTTTTTGAAGGGAATAAATAGATCTTAAGGTATTTCTAGAGGGAACATATTTGTGAATGAAGTTACAGATTTTGAAATATATAAAATTTTACAAAATTCAAAAGTCGCTGCACAAATCACCTGATGTGATGAGCTGACTGTTTTGAGTTTTGAATGGCTAAAATAAAACAAAGTATGCAGAAGTTAGATGGTGAAAGACCGTACAGGGACAAAAGGAAAAGTATGCACCACTTACAGTATTTTAGAACGATTACAAATGTTGATTTTTGTAAAACTCTGATTCCAGTTTTAGCCAATTTTAATTTCTCTCTAAAAACTACTTTTAACAGCATATAAATTATATATATACCTTTTAATTAGGCTAAATAGAAAATTGGTCAGGTTCGAAATAACACGGTAATGGTAACTTTTGTATTTTGTATTTACATGCTCTCTAAATAAAACGTACCCACAATTGACAGAAAAAAAATGACACAAACACAGATTAAAGAAACTAAGTTAACTTTATTTTCCGGACAGATTAAACCCCATTATCTTGGGACTGCTTTGCTGTGTTTTTGTTTTATGTGTAACTTTTTTGATTACATTCATTTAAAATTTTCCTACAGTAAAAGTATTCGCCCAGTTGTTGGTAAATTTGTAAAAGCTTGCCTAGATTAGGTGAATTTTGTTCTCTGATCGTACACAGAAGTCTGATCGCAGATCCTCTATCTTTGTGCACGTTCATACTGACCTTGACTTTTCAACATGTGTGCGCCTCCTCCTCCCTGTGTCCTCTCTGTACCCCCTGCCTCCTTTGGATAATGGCTTTTATAACTCCTTTCATTTATTACAGCTAACGACAGAGCAAAGTGTACCCGGTTGATCAGTTTAGTGTTGATTTTCACCAGTGTTTCATCCTAACTTGGATTCAGACTCTTCCCTGAAACTATTTAAAATGACCTATATGGATTAATGGTACCAAAACCAGAGCTTAGGGGTTTTTAAAACTGGGACATTGTGTGTTGCGTTCTGTTCTTACATCCAGCACCTCACTGAGCTAACGGTCTCCTTTATTCCCTGTCGCTGGGCTCTGGCTAATGAAATATGGTGGGCAGAATCTATTCATATCCAGCAGGCGACACATGAAAGAAGAACCTCTCCAAACCGATTGTTTCGTGTTAGAGCCGTGCTCTTTTTCTGTCAGAGCTGCACCGACTGTTTACGTCAAATGAAGTCGATGGATCTGCAAGGTCATCTGCAAACGTCCCGATGTGGCCCGGATAGGCTTATGAAGTGACGTGTTGTGGAAAAGTTGACACCATTAATGTCTTACTTGTTCTAGATTGCCTAAATTTGAAGAAATTGAAAGAAAATAATTATCCGTTTAAAGTGTTTGTAACTTTAGATTTGTTTTTCCACAGTTTCTTTTTCGTTTGATTTTGTAGTTAGCTTGGCAAAAAATAAAATTAAAATGAGATTACAGTAGTCCCTCGTTTATCACGGGGGATACGTACCCTGAAGCCCCGCGATAAGTGAAAAACCGTGAAGTAGGAATAGTAGTACAACTAGTTAGTAATAGTTTATTTTAGTGTATTTTATATATATATATATATATATATATATATATATATATATATATATAT